TTCTTAATTAAAAGAATGAGGGGTTTTGATTAAGTGTTTTATCTCATCAGAAGGTTTTGGATTGGTCTATGTGATTCCTACATCTATGTTCTCTAAAGGTATATGGAAAGCGCATATTGTCCTAAGAGGAACATACGACCTAATTTCATAATTAATTACATTAATTAATTATCGAGTTTTCAAAATAATTATAGAACCTCAACTAGCATAAGTCATTCAAATAATGTTGAGGTACTACTAATTAAGTTGAACTTATAATCAATATTATATATGTGTTCTATTAATTGAAATCAATTTAACAATTTAAATTAATTAATTAATCTAACACCTATTTACTAAAATAGATGATTGTCGATCCAATTATCTAATTGGGATTAATTGAAAATAATTTTCCAAAAATTAAAATCAATTTGTTTTAAGTTTAATTTTAGAAATCTGAAATAAAATTTTTTTTTTTTTTTTTTTTTATTTATTTTTCAGTGGTCCGGTTCGGCCCAACCGGTCTGACCGGTTCGGACCGAATCGGGCCGGTTCTGTCCGGTCCAGCTGACCCAAATCAGTGGGCCGGGTCAGTCGGACCGAGAACCGGTCTGACCGACCCGAATCCACTTGGATTCGGTCAACTAAACCGCACACAACCATCGAACCGGCCGGTTCGGCCGGTTCGATCCGAACATTTAAAAAACCGACATTTTAAAAACAATTTCAGATCCGATTTTCCAATTTTAAACAATTTTAAAGCTGGAAAAATTCTAAACAATATTTCAAAAATATTTTAAACTTACGAAAACTCCCAATTACATAATACGACAATCGCTACTTCAATAAATCGAACATGCATATTAAAATGAAACGCAATTAATTGCGCAACGAGCTCTGATACCACTGTTGTGTTTCGGGCACGCGTACGCAGCGGAAAACAAAATTTTTACGTGATTTAAACCACTTTAAAGCACACAAGTACATGCCCGACAAAAGATAACAATTAATTGCGTACCTTTGCGCTTCCAGCGAAATTAAAAACAACATACATGCTAATAAATTTAACCGAATTTAAATCAATTAACATGCTCGCAATTTAAACCAAATAACATGCTCGCAACGATTTAATCGATTACACATAATCACATAAAATCATACAAACACAAGCATGAAATCATAGTTTAAATTAAACCCTAAAACGAAACTAGGGTTTCGAGTATTTACCTCTTGACGCGTGAGGTAGGATTGAACGATTCGTCGTGATTACTACGGAAACCAATCCGTAGAATCGGGGCAGCAATGGAGCAGCAGCAGCGGCGGTGTGGCAGCTCACGGCGGCGCGTGTACAGCACGCGCGGTTGTGCGAGGCGGCGCGTGGGGCAGCGTGCGGCTTCGGCTCGTGCGTTGCTCCTCGATTCTTCGATCTACGGTCTTCCTCCTCTCGGATTTCACCTCGTATACTTCGATCTACTAAATCGTGGCACTAGACACGAAGTAGTTAGAATAAAACGGAAAGAAAATAAAGGAGAAAGAATACCGAACAAAAGCCGGCCGAGGAACGGCCGTTTCCGGCGACGGAGCGGCGGTGGTGGCGCGGTGGTGGCCGCGCGGAAGAGAGGCCGAGAGAGAGAGGGTGGCCGATTAGGGTTAGGGTTTTTTTTGTGTATATGTGTATGTGTGCTAGGGTTATAAATCATGTATTTATAGTCCCTAGCATGAAACCCTAGCGGGCTTAAGTTGGAGTGGGCCCAACAGCTTAAGCTCGTTAGTTTCTTTAATCGCTCGTATCTCTCAATTCAATGATCGAAAAATTGTAACGATTACAATTTCCGAGTCATTATAATTTTCTCGTCATTACGAGTGCCATCTCTTATTTTCCAACTTTCCAAAAGTGGAAACCCTAGTTCAGTGGACTTTCTAAATTTGGAAACTTCCCGATTTAGAAAGTTCACTAACACGTTCGCTTATTCTTTTCCTTTTCTTATTCTCATTCATAATTCCAAATTACGAACGTTGGACTCAATCATATTGACTTCCAATTATGCAAAGATAAACTATTTTATCTCTGACCGTTTATTCAAAGATCTCATGTGCACGAGCAGTGTGACCCTCGATGGTTCAGGTGTAAGCTAGCCGTGGGCCCACAACCCTTTGTGGTCAAAACTCGTCCCCTTCGAGTTACGATTAAGATGAAGCTCGTTTCACCTTAATCACCCAACGAATCAAGATTGGCGTCTAGCAACTACGCGTCATGATTCCCTAGATACAAATGAAGTGCCTGCAAGAACCTTCAGATATAGTTAACGTACAGTACGGTCCCTTCGATTCATATGTCCCGATTGAACTAGAGGCATTGGTTCATCGAGACCTCTTTATATGTTCAATAACGGTGCGATCGTTCTAAGTGTTGTAATCCTTACGTGCATGACTTAAAGAATCGAATTCTCTAATCATCACTTAGTCAGCTCTGGCCAGAGACTTAGAATGAATACAAACTTTCAGAACACACAGGACATCCAAGACTATTCTAGCGATCGAATCCCCGACTACAATGCACAGACCTCCCACTAGATTTCGGACTGCACGAACACTGGCCCTTGGGATGGTCCTCGGTGGAACTCAGGGACAGGTCACGATACAGCTGGTCCTCTAGTGAAGTCACGGTGATGTCTAGGTCATAAGGACTAATGGTGTACAACTATACCATAGATATCTCTACTCGATTATTGGGAACCACTTAGAGATTTCTAGGGTGAGGGAGTTCAGTGAACTCGTCAACTTACGAGCACCCACTTGTGCATGCCGATATCACAATACCGTTTACTGATGAGATGCAGTACACATACACTAAGTGCTAGTCTTAATGGGAAAGGCCGATATCCTCATTAGTGGCGTAACCCTTCGACTAGGAACACGTTTAACAGTTATAATACTTAAGTAAATATCTCACGATCCTAACGATCAATTACTAGTACTTGTAATAACTGTAAGGACTATATCTATGCTTGTGACAAAGGGACAAAGATATAGAATGCCAATGTGTTTTATCATTAATACGAATAAAGGTTCGTTTATTACAATAATAAATACGAAAGACCACAGCCACAAGTTGGCTTGTTGGTCACCTACTCTAACACGTATCACCCCGAACATCTTTGGTTGACTCTGCATGTGTTGGTGAGTCAACTCAGAGTGAGGATTGGGGGTCAGATCTAAGGTTTTGGATTAGTGGCTGTTGCTTGGTGCTTGTTTTCAGTTGGTGTTACCACCAGACTTTGGATTGACTGTATGAACACTGGAAAAGGGAACTGAGCCGTTCTTTTACAATATATTGATTTATTTCTCTTTTCAGTTGTTCTAAATTGTTTCCACGGATCTATGGCTGATTTTGAAAGAACCTGTACCTAACACTGTTGTTATAGTAATATTACTGTCACTCACAATAATATTAATTGTTTTGGCTTTTTATTATGTTTACATTTGTTGAACGGTCAACATTGTAATACTACTCTATTAAACAATAATAATGAGTTTTTTTTGTGTTAATATTACTGTGCTAGAGATTAATATAGCAATATTACTGTGTTAAACTGTAGTTTAGTTAATTTTACTGTGTTTAACAGTAATATAGTTAATATTACTGTCAATCACAGCAATATTGCTGTTTAAACGAAAAAAAAATGTTACAGAAAGAAAAAAAAATCGACAAAGTCAACGCCGAAAACCGGCGAAAAAATATGGAAGAAAAAAAAAGTCAACGCCGGAATCCGGCGGGAAAAAAAAATTTGAAAAAAAAAGTTTTGGGTCAAAATTGAATAATTTGTGAAATTTAGGGTCAAATTGAAGTTAAATTAAGTTAATGATGAAATTGGAGCATATCAAAGTATGAGGGGCTATTCTAGTCTTTTACAAAAATCTGGACCATGTGTGACTTATTGGTAAATGAGTTTTTTATCTGAATCTCTTTATGAATAAATGCCCATTGATGTGCTTATTTGTAATAGGGCCGTGCATGGATCGGTTTTAACCACCAACCAACCCATTTTCGACTCATAATTTGTGACGAATAATCAACCATCAACCGACCTATTTAAGTTGGGTCGATAATTTTAACCAACCCATGTATAGTTGGGTCGATAATGGTTTCTAATATGCTATAAAGTTGGTTAGTCGGGTAATATCGGCCAACCAACTTTATTTATTAATTTTATTTAAAATGTTTAATATATTTTATTTCAAATTTCTATTTTATATCACATTTATAAAATTGTTTAATATTGACCAAAATCCTAAAAGCAATAAATCTAACATAATTATCTATTTTGAACTATTTTAATTTTAAGACATATAGCCTAAATATTTGGACGATTATTATTTGTTGAACTATTTATGTTTAATTAAAATATATATGGCCCGTAATGTTTTGAATTTTTATTTGAATATTGTTGAACTAATCATATTTAATTTATAAAAGATATAATTTTGTAACAACTAATAAAATATTAAATAAAATTAAAAAATATTTAGATGGATGACCCATCAACCAAACCATCAACCGACCCACTAGATTGGTTTGCAACCATCACCCAACCCATATAAACTGGGTCGATAACGGTGTCCAATATTGGCCAAAATTGGTTGGATGAGTTGAGTTGGTTTTATGACTGGTTTTTAACCAAACCAACCAACGCACAACCCTAATTTGTAATGACTTAGATAATTTGGTAAACATTTTTCAATTTTCATATTTTTTTTTTTTTGCGAAATCAATTTTTATTTTCTAAAGTTTCATATTTAATCGACACTTGATAATTTATACTAGAAGATATTTTAAAGATCATAATTACTTAATTAGTGCAAACAAATACCTTTGCCATTTAGTGCAAATCTGATATTTTTTTTTTCATTCATTTCATTTCTACTTTTACCCTTGTGTTGATGATGCCGTAAAGACAGAAGAAGGGATTATAATTTTGACAAAATAAGAAGGAAATATTTGAACTTTAAACGTATCTCAACCAGTCCTTGTAATTTTACCAAAAGAAGTTATGGCCTTGAAAGAGAACCAAACAGGGCCTTAGGTTTTTTAATTCACCAAATTGAAAGGTAATTTGGTGTCCGGCGATACAATATAAACTGTGTGGGAGTGTCTTTTTAGCTTCGTCTCTCACGCCCTTCCGTACTGAAAAACCTCCTTCTCCGTAGTCTCTCCGCCGTTTGCCCGTCGCTCGATCGCCGCCGTTAGGTTAATTCTCTTTCATTTTCCACTCACATTCCTTCTTGCTTGCCCGCCTACTGTTTTTAACGATGTGTTTCTATCATTTATTTAATTTGAAAATTCATCTCTACACCGGTGTTTGGCATACGAAAATTAATGTATCCTTGCTTTGCGTTTGATTTACGACTGTCTTCCTGCGTGTGGTTTTTCTTTCTATCTTGTGCAGAAATTCTCGTTTATTTTTTCTTCCGTTTTTCCTACTTTTGCTGTTGCATTTTTATTTAAAAAATAATAATTATTATTGTTCTTTAACGCTTCTTCATTACTTCTGTTACGCTTCATTTCTAATTTTTTTTTTACCGAAGATAAATGTGAGGTTCAGGCCATCCAACTCAATGTTGCCACTGTATCGTAAAAATAATTATCCTAATTTAGTGAATATTTCTGTTTATCTCTGGTACATTTTGGCTCACTAAAACGCAAGCATTTTCTGGTATTTACTTTAAGCAGAATTAAACAAAAAAATGAATACATGTTCGTATTCCTGGAACTTGGACGGTTACCGCTTGTTCTTTAGTTTATTTGTTTGGAAAGCGGGAAATATCAATTGCTATTTGTTAATTGGTTTGTATGGTATTCTTGGTAAACATTGTATCTATTTTCCATTTACTATTTGTTGATAAGAAGCATCCAGAAAAGTAGGATTTGCTAAGCCTGCTCTTCCAGTTTTTTGATTAACCAAGAACTGCCTGTGAGTGTATATGATCATCATTTCATGCTTAAATCTCTGTGCAGTTGCATATAAGTAGGAGTCACTTGGCACTTTTGCTGAACTTGCGCATTAAGAACTTGTGTACATTTTATTATGCATATATTCTCTTTATACGCCCTTCCCAGTTTCTTAACATGTGTATTGATGTTATTGTGTAGAAACAAGAATAATGTGGCATCAGGCTCCCATCCAAGGGCATTTGGTCTAGGATTTTATGTATGGATTGACTTTACATACTCCAGTCACACGGTTCTTGATTAGATCTATTTGATCATGCGATTGACACATTGACATGAATTTAGTGTCTGAAACAAATCATCATTGTTATGAGGGCTGTTGACAGTTTAGTTTTTCTTAGGTGATATATTGGATTATAGATGATTTTTTTCTTGGACTCTTTGTTATCATTTATTACTAGATAAACATCTCTTATTATTGCTGAGGTAATGGTGCTAATGTTCTCTAGGTATTGGCATTTTTGCTGAACATGCCAATGAGTTGATTTAGCTATCACGAATGCTGATTGCCCACTTAAGTTTTTAATTACATTCACCTCTATATTATGATGTGCATAGCACTTGTGATATATCCATAATGCTCCAACCTACAATGTGATTGATATTTTTTTATGTTAAACTTTTAATTGTTGAGTTTCAATGATAAAGAATCATTAGGCCAGTGTCTTGATCTAATACTGCTCATATAAGCTTATATTTCTTTTTCCCTACTATTTCTTTAGTGAAAACATGTTTCTTGGTCATATATTGGTATCTAATATGGCGTATTGTTGAGTGCTAATGTGTTATTTTTATTTTTTCCCAGATATGAATGTGAATTCTGCAGAAGATGAAGGATGGGAAGAAAAAAAATCAAAAAACAAGAGTAGGAGCAATCCTTTAAAACAATGGGGTCCTCAAAATTCCAACCCTAAGGGATGGGGTCACAGTGGATTAGGAAGGGGCTCCGGCCAGACTGGTCCCACACTATCTTCTGATATTCGAAAACATGCCGGCAGAGGGTATACTAAACCCCAACTAACTAACCGAAGTCCTGACTGTGGTTATGTTGCTGCAAATCCAGTAATTGCCCCTCCTCTAAAGAATGGATGGGGATGGTCTACTAGGACCGGTTCGAGTCAGTCTTCAGAGGATAGCATGGCCCATAAAGAGAAAGCCCAAACAGTTCACCCCGCGGATGATCAGACGTCTAAAGCCGGTGAAGTTGATGAAGAGTCAGATGACATTGATGACAGTGATGACAGTGATGATGAGCTTATGAGTGATGAATTTGATTCCGATGAGAGCCAAAAAAGCCATGAGACCAGGAAGAAAAACAGATGGTTTAAGGAACTTTTTAAATCTCTTGATCTTTTAACTGTCGAGCAGATAAATGAGCCTGAACGACAGTGGCATTGCCCTGCTTGTAAGGGAGGTCCCGGAGCTATTGACTGGTATCGTGGCTTGCAGCCACTTATATCACACGCCAGGACTAAACGATCCAAGAGGGTGAAGCTTCACAGAGAGCTTGCTGAACTTTTAGATGAGGAATTACAAAGGAGGGGAACCTCAGCACAGCCATCTGGTGAAATGTTTGGGAAGTGGAAAGGCCTTGAGGAAAGAGCTGATAGAGATATAGTTTGGCCACCCATGGTCATAATCATGAATACCAGGCACGAGAAAGACGATAATGAGAAAGTATGACATTTTTGTAGAACCCTGTACTTTTATGTGATTTTGTTGAATTGATGGTATACTAAATCTTTGCCTGTTCTTACAGTGGATCGGCATGGGAAATCAAGAGCTTCTTGACTATTTCAATCCATATCAGGCTGTGAAGGCCAGGCACTCGTATGGACCTCAAGGACATCGAGGCATGAGTGTGTTGATTTTTGAGGCTTCACCAGTAGGATATGCAGAAGCGGAACGTCTGAGCAAGCATTTTGAAGACACTTGTAGGGATAGGCTTGCTTGGGCAAGAAACAAGGCGCCTATATACTCTGGGGGAAAACGCCAACTGTATGGATACATTGCAGAGAAGCAAGACATGGACAACTTTAACCAGCATTCTCCAGGTATGCTCTTTATGCATGGGCGTGTGTTGTAGTTTGTTTGTGCATTTTGATGTTTCTTCAGTTCTTGAATTTAATGGTGCAATTATGAATTGTCATTATGTTTTTTGGTATGCTTCTGGTTGTATTTTAAAATGCTGCATATGGTTAGGTAAATCCAAACTGAAGTATGAGATGCGGTCGTATAAAGAAATGGTTGTCAATCAAATGAAACAGATGAGTGAGGACAATCAACAGCTGTTATTTTTTAAGAACAAAGTTGCCAAAGAACAGAAAAGCAAGAAAGCTCTCGAAGAGTCTCTTGGCATACTAACTGAACAGATGAGGAAGACGGTGGTCGAGAATCACCATGTCATTCTGACTACAAAAAAGCTCCATCAACAAAACAAAGCAGAGGTACGTCTAAAATTGCACATTTTCCTGCACGTGGCAATGCAGAAATGCTAAACAACTTGTTACATTTGGTGGGAAATGTTTACCCTATTTCGATTATGATGATTTAATGGAGCAATCAGTTGTTTTTGGGTGACATTACTTTGGCTACATTTCTTGTTTTGAATGTATTCGCCTTCCAAGTCAATGAACCAAGAACCGATTCTTATAATACTCTGGTGGATTTCTGAAATCTTAGTTCTTGAAAATTGTATATATTTTCAGGAAAAAAAATTCCTGAAAATGATAAGCTTCTTGAATATCGCTCTTAAATATACTCCCTCATATATATATGTATATATTTGAGGAGTGGCCAATCTATATTAACTACATTGGTTGTATCTTGATCTTGGATTAGATGGAATACCAAGCAGGGTTTTTCGGCGACCAGATGCAGCAGATGTATGAAGTTAGAAATGCGAAGGAGGAGAACTTTGAGAGAATCCAGCAACATGAGCGTGAAAAAGTAACTAACCTCGAGGCAAATGTGTCCTCTGGGGAGGAACGTGTACGCAGGTGATATTCCCTTACCAGCTGGCTGCTATTCTTTATACCTGTATTATTGATTTTGCTAAGCTGTTTTTTGACATTTTCTTCTTGATTTGTTCTAGGGCGGAAGAAATTGCCAAATTAATTCAGCTGCAGGACAAAGAAATGGAAGAATTTGGGAATAAGAGGGAAAAGCTGATGAAGGCACATGAAGAACGAAAGGTGGAGCTGAAGCGCCGTCATTGTGATGAGATGTTGGCTCTTGAGAAAGAATTTGATGACGAATTTAACAAGCTGATGGATGAGTACACTCCATCCACTTCCAAGTAGTAGGATGCCCAGACTAGGAACTAACACCGCCTTGGAGTAAAAAGAAAAAAATATTGATCAAATTTTCATTTTTTGTTTGCTTTGCATGTGCATTTAGAAAACACAAATATAATTTCAAACTATCCCGTGCATCGCAAATTCGAATTTGAATTTGAATTTTGAATATTTTCTTTTATCTGAAGTTGCTGCTAGAAGAGTCCCCTTGGTTTGATTTGAATATGTTCTTTTAGTTGTTTTGTTGTGTGCTTGGCCGAGGGTAAATGTCAAATGTGGCATATGGGATGTTTTATATGCAGCAAATGCACATGCAGATGCAGTGTTGATTAACCTCTTTTAGTCTTGGCAGCCTCTGTGAAAAGGATCGCTGGACTTAAATTTTGGTGAACTAGCTCCCAATTTCTCAGAGACTTGGGCCAAATTTATCGTGTGCATTTAGTCCCACCTGACATAAATCGAGTCCTGTATAAAAACATAATTAGCCATAATCATACAATTGGGTTAAGGAGGTTAATGCAATTAACATTCATGTACACCATCATACAAATAGATAAATACTTCAGAAATTCTTAAATATAGATAAATGTCATATATGACACACTCCTCCAGATAAATACTCCATGTCTACTAGTACGTATTTACATTACATGGGATTGCAGGTGACTGATCGATAGTCGATTCTACGCTAGTCTGAGTCCTATTCACACATTACTTACTAGTTGAGAAGCTATGTGCAACTAAATGACTCTCTCTACAACTGAACCAAAATATTGATCTTGTTGATCATTAACAATAAGCTAGTTTAGAGGAAGCTGCTCTTCACTATGTACTTGAGTCAGCCCATTGCAATCTTCCATTTGAAGCTTCTCATTCAACATTGTCTTGTATTGGACGTCACTCAACTCTAGATTTCGCATTATATCAACCTACATAACATATATGATCAATACATACTTGTACATCATAATATATAATACTTTAAAAACACCTTTCGTATATATACACACAGAGCTGAGAGAACCATCAGTATTTCGTGACCATTAATATATACCTGTTTCTGGAACAAATCAAATTCATCAGAGCTGAGAGAACCATCAGTATTTGAATCAAGGAGTTGCATCATCTCCCTAGCATCTTCTCCTTGAGCACCAAGTTCTTCCATTACTTCCATAAGCTCTTCTATACTGATTTTACCATCTCCATTCTTGTCCAGCAGAAGGAACACTCTGTTCCTCTCATCAATTTCCGCATGACCTTTATTATGATTTGTCCTTGAAGGGAAATCTTTAAGGCGCACTGCTGCTAGTTCTGCTGCCGCCATCATAATCACCTTAAGCCGCTTTGCCTGAGATTTTTTATTTTTTTTTATTTCTTTTAACATATACTTGGTAGTTTACATGAATATTCATTTTGCCTTTTGCATATTTATTATTATAATATATATATAATATTAGACTTCATATTTTACCTCTTGTGGATCAGTGAGACCAGCTTTGAACAATGCATGGGATGCAGTTCCACCGGCTGCCAACATATCCATCTCCGCTGTTCGTATTTGTATCTCCATCAATGGTCTTGTTCCACCATTGTCACTGATATCAACAGCCATGTGTAAACTCTTGTATCCGTTAGCCTTTGGATGCATGATATAGTCTTTGGACCTGGCAGGCATCTCTTTCCAAATGGATTGGATAATCTCACGTGCTCTGTAGCAGGCCTTTTCGACGTGCTCTATATCAGGCCTTGGACTCAATATTACTCTTAATCCCAATACATCGTTCACTTCCTCAGGTTTACGCCCATCTCTCAACAGTTTCTTCATTGTACTGTAACGACTCTTGTAGCGACCTTCAACGGATATGTCTTGTACCATTTCAGTTAGATAGTGATCGGATCTCAAGCATCGTAGCAGCTGGTCCTTGAATATCTCTATCAGAGGCTTGCTCCCAGTCTCGTGACTTCTCAACCATGTGTCCACATAAATGTATGAATGAGGAAACAAATATTGGAAGGACAAATCCTCGAGTTCAAGGGATAAGTGGTTGATTCCAACAGCATGTGCGAGTGGGGCATATATCTTAATAACATGTAGAGAAATCATTTGCTGCTTGTACCTAGGGAGATAATGGAGGTGCCTAATAGTGTCGAGCTTGAGGACTAACTCAAGAATAATAGCCCTGACGTCATAGTAAGTGAGGCAGTACTTCCTCAAGGCCGATGCAGTCTCATCGTCCAGGGCATCGTCATCCACAACTTTTGAAGATATGTTTTTTAAGCGCATGCTTTCGTGTATAAGATGAGCTGTGCCTGTGCTGCCAATCCGATCCCTCAATTGGTATATGGATATTCCGCCACCTCCCTCTATCACTTCCCTCAGTATTCCAGCACTAATTACTTCTGCATCCATCTGCAATTCTCTAGAAATTAATAATTAATTAATTAATTACAAAACTGATCGATCAATGTAATTAATAGCAATCTGTTTGATGAATTGATTAGAGCAACTAGTGATAAAATTAAAGAGGATGCATGATGGATGAGGGGACCTGCAGATCTGCAAGAATAAAGGCAACCGAAAGGGCTTTGGAGAGGGGAGATCGACCGTCGGGGAGAAGTGGGAGAGAGTGGAGAATCGGAATAGATAGCTTCAAAACCTTGAAAAGCAACCTGCTCGACACAAGGCTGCTGTGGCTCATTCTCCCCGTCAGCTCATTGAAAGCCCCCACCAGCTCCACCACCATCTTCCCTCCGGGTTGCTCCAACGCCACCACCGACGACGACGATGATATTTTTCTCCGGCGGCGGCGGCGGATCTTATTCTCCAAGGATAAAGAGATACTGTTAATGGAGGTGAATTTAACCAATACAGTGCTATTGGGTTTCGAAGATAACTGGATACCACGGCTTGGGGAGTTGAGACTGAGATGAAGCTCCATCAGTTCTCTCTGGCTTGTTTGCCGGCCGGCAAAACTGGAGAAAAAGGGGGAAAATAAGCTAAATAGATTTTCCGCCACTCCCTTTGAACGCAAATGAATGATGATTAGCCACAATTGTCAGTTGTTTGCGAGGCCACGTCAAAGACTAAACATATTACACATTTTATTCCTAGAACCAAAGAAAGAGGAAAATAGATAAAATGATAAATTGCTCAATTCTCTTTTTGGTGTTCAATCCAAATATCCAATAGATCCAAGGTCGGTGGTAACACCAAAACGGAAATAAACACTAAGCAACAATCACTGATTCAAAATTCCAGATTTATCCCAAACTCACACTTAGTTGACTCACCAACACATGCACAGTCAACTCAGTCACAAACCCAGTTTTCCTCAGTCATAGTTCCTCAATCACTCACAGAAGAGTATTAAGGATGGAAAACACTCAGTTTGAATAAAAAGTAAGTCACCCCTCTCTCTCTCTCTCTCTCTCTCTCTCTCTCTCTCCACAATATATATACACGAAAATTCAATGGTCTTCAGCATTAAATGTGTTGCGACGGCAAGGACACCCATTGTCCGGCTAGACCTGCCACAATGTCGCCGAAAAACGACAATGGGTGACGAAACAATATAGAGAGAGGAAGGGACAAGAGGAAGAGAGAGAAACGACGCCGCATAGTGAGCTGCTAGGGTTTGGGTGAGAGAGGTAAGAGTAGAGGAGATGAACAACCGAGTTTGAAACCACTCAATGGACGGTTCAGATTGGGTTTGACCAGATCAGTAGACTTGAGTTGCAGTTAGGCCCCATTCCTTGAGTTGGGCTGCAATTGTTAAAGAATGACCCATATCACAAAAGATCATTAATTGGTCTCAAACACTTAACAAATTTTCCACGTGAGACCAATAGAGGATTTTAGGAACACACTTAATGGAATGGGATCATCATTGCCGTAATTTTGAATCTTAAACACTAATCACACAGATTATAGTAGAAGATTCCAATTTTTTTTTTTACAAAGGATGTAATCACCTATATAAAGAAAATTTTAAAATCACACAGAATTTGAAATTGACAAAAGCTATCACACAGAAAGCACATAAGGCTTGCACACAACAAGTAGAAACACTCAATTTCTGTTTCAATCATGTTTTGAGACAATGTTCAAGATTCTCAAACATGATCTCAATTTTTCAACAGGTAAGCACTTAGCACCTATGTCAGCAGGGTTGAATTCAGAAGGAATTTTCTCAAGGTCTACAACTCCCTTTTCCACTATTTTTCTGATAAAGTGGCACTTGATGTCAATGTGTTTTGTTCTGTCATGAAAGACAAGATTCTTGCACAACTGAATCCCTGATTGACTATCAGAGAATACCACGACTGTTTCTTTCAAGAAACCAATTTCGGAGAGAAGCCCTTTCAATCAGATAGATTCTTTAACAGCCTTAGTAGCTGCAATATATTCAGCTTCAGTGGTAGAAAGGGCCACAATATTTTGAAGTTGGGATTTCTAGCTGATACAAGATCCACACAGAGTAAACACATAGGAGGTTGTAGATTTCCTATTATCTCTATTGTTAGCATAATTGGAATCCACATAGCCACATAGAATAATTCCTTTTTCACATTTTGAAAATTCAATCCCGGTTTTAACAGATCCTTTTCGATATCTCATTAACCATTTTACAGCCTCCCCAATGAGGCATACCAGGATTAGCCATGTATCTACTCAAACAACTTACAACATATGCAATATCAGGTCTTATGCAAACCATTAAGTACACGATAGAGCCAATTGCATTAGCATAAGGAACATATTTCATATAACACATTTCAGGTTCAGCCGTGGGGGACTGTTCCTTACTTAACATGAAATGAACAGCTAAAGGCACAGTAACAGATTTGACATTTTTCATGGCAAATTTATCTAAGATCTTTTCCACATAGGTAGACTGGTTCAGAAACAAAGAACTCTCTTTTCGGTTCCTAATTATATCCATACCCAGAATTCTTTTAGAGTCACCAGAATTTCATGTAAAAATTATCACTAAGACATTTCTTCACATGATCAATAGCTTTCAAGCAATGACTGGCAATAACATAAATTAAGAGTAACATAGGAGATTGACAGATATCTTTGAAATACAAGCATGGATCAAAATCACTTCTTTTAAATTTCAAAGATAGCATACAAGTGTCAAATTTTTTTTTCCATTCTCTAGGGGACTGCTTAAGGCCATATGAAGATTTCTTTAACAAACAGATATAATCAGGATGAACAGAATCAACAAAACCCTCAGGTTGTTTCATGAAAATTTGCTTATCAAGATCATCATGTAGAAAACCAGTTTTAACATCCATTTGCTTAAGTTCCCAATCAAAGTGAGCAACTAAAGCAAGCAATTCTGACAGTGGTGGATTTCACAACAGGAGCAAATATTTCATTATAATCAACGCCTTCTCTTTGTGTAAAACCTTTAGCTACAAGCCTAGCTTTGTATCTCATAGAATCATTTTCATGCTTAGTTTTAAAGAGCCATCTACATTCAATCATAGAGCACTTAGCATGTTTAGGAACAAGAGTCCAAGTTTGATTGACATGTAATAAGTTAATTTCCTCTTTCATAGCAGAAAGCCACATAGCAGATTCAACAGAATTTAAAGCATCTTGATAGCACTTAGGTTCATTGCAGATTATATTATGGCCCTTTCTACAACTGAAGCTGAATATATTGCAGCTACTGAGGATGTTAAAGAATCTATCTGATTGAAAGGGCTTCTCTCCGAAATTGGTTTCTTGAAAGAAACGGTCGTGGTCAATCAAGGATTCAGTTGTGCAAGAATCTTGTCTTTCATGACAGAACAAAACACATTGACATCAAGTACCACTTTATCACGAAAATTGTGGAAACGGATTGAAAAATAAAATACGCACTACATCGAAAACACACATTGAATTACACAAGAAATACACACACTGTAAAAAAACCACGCTGTACATAATAAAACACTCACTTAGAAAAGAAACACACTACACAAAAAACACACAATGAAAAATAATACACTCACTATATCGAAAGCATACACTAAATTACACAATAATTATAGTAGAAAATAAACACCCGAAAAAAAACCACGCAATACACCAAAAACACACACTTAAAAAAAAAACCACTACACCAAAACACACATTGAATAAAATGCACTACACTGTGAAACACACACTAGAAATTGAGTGTACTTCTTGTGTCATTTAGTGTGCGTTTTTCATGTAGTCTGTGTTTTACACAAGAAGTACACTGCATTTCCAGTGTGTGTTTCACGGTATAGTGCATTTTATTCTATGTGTGTTTTCGTGTAGTGCGTGTTTTTTTGAAGTGTTTGTTTTTGGTGTAGCGTGTGTTTTTTTTTCGCTTTGAATTACTCATGAACTACACTGGAAAACACATAGTGGAAAAAAATCCACGCAGTACATCAAAAACACATACTGAAAAAATATACGCACCACACCGGAAACACACACTGGAAAAAAATACACACCACACCAAAAACACTCATTGAAAAATAAAATACGCACTACATCGAAAACATACATCGAATTACACAATAAATACTCCGGAAAACTCACACTGGAAAAACAATTACGCAGTACATCAAAACCACACTGACAAAAAACATTCTCTATACACCGTAAACACTCACTTAGAAACAAGACACACTACACCAAAAACGCACAATGATAAATAAAACACGCACTACATCGAAAACATACACAGAATTACAAAATAATTACAATACAAAATAAACACCCGAAATAAAACCACGCGCTAAACAAAAAACTCATACTTAAAAAAAAAACATGCACTACACCAAAACACACATTGAATAAAATGCACTACACCGTGAAACACACACTGGAAATTAAGTGTACTTCTTGAGTAAATACACAGACTACATAAAAAATGCACTGTAATTGAGTGTGCGTTTTTTATGTAGTCTGTGTTTTTCGTTGTAGTGCGTATTTTATTTTTCAATGTGTGTTTTTTTGTGCAGGTGTGCATTTTTTTCCAGTGTGTGGTTTTTGGTGTGTGGCGTGTTGGTACATAAAAAACGATTTTATCTTCCCCCTATGCAAGAATCGCTCACCCAAAACCCCTCAATATGAAATATATGGATTCATGGATTATTAACCCGAGACACTAATTTACTCATAACCCGTAGTCGCGTGTATTATGAGTCTATTATTCATAAACGGTTCACTATATGTTTATGCAAACAAATTATGAATAAATCATTAACTAACAAGTCTCGTAAATGGCTACCTAAGGTGATATCTGTATGTCTACGACACCACATGCAATTGACACACTCATCCGGTGAAAACTACTCGAAGGTTCCTCTACTTACCTTCTAATTATCAAAACAACCCTGTCGAGTCAATCCCAATAATCACAGATAAAGCACATAAATTGATCAAGTTCATGCACTAACAATCATAACAAGTAGAAGAAATAATCATAAAATCATAATTGCATAATCTCAAGAAAACGGGTTCACCATCCCCACATAGGGTTCCAACAAAATCCTAGATTAAAAACTTAGCTACTCATAACAAAAAACATAATAAAAGTAATAAAAGTTATAGATTAAGAAAAGATAGGTGAAAGCAGAATTATGATGAAGATTTGTCAATTCTCCGTCTTCGTTTCTTCGTTCTCTCGCTTCTCCTCCTCTAAGATTGTGTTCAAAATTACTCTAATTCGTGCTTGGTTTGGGCTTAAATAGATGTCCCAACTTGGTAGAAAAATTTAGGTTTCCTTGTGTGAAGTCCAAAATTGTCTCCAGCGTGTTTTGGCACGGCCGCGCGAGAATCATTGCAATTCTCACACGGCCGCGCGAGAATCGCCGAAACCTTCTGCCCAACTTCTGCAGTTGGCACGGCCGTGCCAAAAATAGGCTAAATTTGGCACGGCCGCGCGGGCCAATTTTCAGCCAATTTTCAGCATATTTTGTTTTCTTCCGTTTTTGCCCGTTTTTGACCTTTTTTGGCTCGTTTCGTCCTTGGAACTTCCAAATCGTCAAGTTGTACCTAAAATACAATAAACCACTTATTAAGCATCATTAAATCAATAAAAGTGTACAAAAAATCCTCGTAAGAAAGTATACATTGAGTGTAAAATGTACACTCAACACACCCCCAAACTTGAACTTTTTCTTATCCTCAAGCAAA